ACTCAATATTCTTCTCACTTACACAGAACCTGATTTACCGTTATTATCCTTTTATCATTATTGTTCTATTATCACCATTATTCTTCCTTTTTTTAACAATGGCAGAGATAATGCCAGCATTATTGAAACTTGTGTATTCTTGCGTTTCCGTAGAAACCCAAAATAGCTTTTTCACAACACTTATGTACACAAATGATGTTTGTGAATAATAATAACAATAACTTTTTTCTGTTTTTATAATTTTTATTTTTCATCCGATGCCAGGCAAAGGCTCACAATTCGAAAGACTGAGTAAGCATTTTCGGTTTGTCGCAGTAGAGTGATGAGTCCAACATAAAATTGGAGACATGAACCATTAATAGTGAGCGTAGGAGAAAAACAATCACGGATTGATTAACTCGTTCTCAATGACAAAGAGCCTTAATCAGACGAAATATCCATCCCAACAAACACGAACAAATTGAAGTCACCGCACCCAGCATCAATTTTTTCTGGTCAACAACTCAACCACCCCTCCTTTTGTGATGTTGAGGTAATTAAAGTTAAGTTTTAGATAATAAACTATATCCTATACGATCTTCTAGGTTTCACTTCCTGCTTAAGGACACTTTCCATAAATATCATTTTACAAGGAAATTAGGCAGTTACAAATTATGGACTGAAGGTAAGGCATCAATGAAATGCTTTAAATGACTACTGTATAAAGTAAGGGTGGCCTCACGAAAAATAAGAGCCAAAAAAGGTATAATGTGGGATAAATTTCTGCTGAGTTACGTGAAGAAGTGTAGGACTATAAATAAGGCGATGGGTGTCGAAATAAAATTATTGGTTAGTCAACATAGAGAACGTGAAAGTAGAAAGATGATAAAAAATGGAAAAAACGAACTCTCATTCACTTGGTGTTGATGGTATTTTGTGCTTTTGCAACAAGTTGATTGGTTACGGGCTCCATAGATGCAAGATCACTAGTAGTGGGTGGGTGGTTGAGTCGCACGCTTAACAACGTTTTAGGTAGTAGTGAGCGTCTCTTATCGACCGACTGCAGTTGAATGAATCGGTAGGTTCAGTGAATTATCTACCTACTTCAAGTACAAATTAGTAAGGGAAATGTAGCTACGGAGACATATCTTATACAACTGGAAAGAAGAAAAGTAATGGAAAATAAACTTGTTTGTGATGTAGTCGAAAAATGTGAAGGGCCTATCATGCCTGGGTGGGACGCAGATGTATTCGTGTGTGCTTGATCAATGCAAGCGAGGGCTTCATCAAGAATATTTACGAACGTATGTAATACATCTGCCATGAGTATTTAAGAGGGAGGACTGTTCCTGGTTGATTCCTCATTCGTGAAAAAGTTTTCTCGAGTTTTCCATCCGTATTTTTCAATTAACTGTTGATATTTCACCCCTAAGGCCGTATATATGGGGGCCTTGGGCAAGAACTATGTTACAAGTGGAGCAAGTAAGATATTTCAGGAGTTTGAAGTAGAGAATCTAATTGGACCTGAGCTTTCTTTTCCAGATTGATTCTAGTCCAAGGATATGGCATCGGAAACTATAGTCAGTGAATGAGTCAGTCTCAAATATTTTGCAGGTGAAATACCATCATGCTCCTTCCACCCTCAGAATACCCGATAGGCGTAAGTTGGAAAACAAGAACGAACACTATTCGACGATAAGTCTTACACATATCTTCAAGGAAATGATTTAAGATTGATTTCGACAGAAGTTACGACGAATGAAGTCGAACAATTTCCGCATTTTAGATGCTTTGGTGAAGATATAATCAGAGAAGTTAAGACTGTGTGAGTAATGTACCCCATGGTCACTTACTGATTTGAGTATGAATTGTACGTCCTCGTTAAGCGTTAGTTGGCGTCACTATAACCTATGGACAGATCAATTAGATTTAGGATAACAGGTCATGGATTTTGGCGCAAAATTCACTAACCAATTTGACCAAACAGTGTCTTAACATTTTAGCTGATGTCATTTGGTGATGAAAAACCATAAATCTTATTCCTAACCCTAACCAACAACTGCGAATCATGATCCTTGTTCTTCAAACTGCTTTACAACACTCATTTATCCCTAGTAAGTAGGTAGACACTCTCGAGGTCATTTTGGAGTCGCTCAAAGCTCTCACCTGTTAGTTTTATTTCAAAAGACATATCTTCAATACATAGCCAGCCTCACTTCTCTATATTGAGCCACGACCTCCAGTGCTTACACCAATTACTTACCATGCCCAGTTTATGGGTGATTGTTTGCATAGTGCTACGTACATCGCGAATATTAGTTTTATTAAGTACTGAATTTCCGTTCAATAACGGTAGAACACGTATCATCAAATTTAATAGCGATTCGCCAGTGATATAATTCCAGTTTTTGAACCTTTGGCACATGTTATCTGTACTGCCTGTGGAAAGATTTCGTTGTTTGTTGTTGGTGGGTAGAGACGCATGAAATGTTGGGCGATGACTGTGTTTTAAGAGCTTGATTTAACATGACACTCATACTTCACAGTTGAAAAGAACCTTCCCGAATATTCAACTCTTTAATTGTCCCAGGGGCATGTGCATTCATGAATATCTGCATCCCCAAAAACACTCAACAGCCGTAATGCAATGTACAAAAATTTATTATTCACACATCCTGCTCTAAAGGCGCTCAGAACATTGATGTACAACTCAATACTTGAACATGAAGTGTCATTTTAAAGTTATAGATCACACGAATTATTATTAAGATTTAAATCCAGCGATTAACTTTTTGGTCGGAATGTACGCATGAGAACAAAAAATGTATTTTCAAACTTAGCGTACAAGCCCGCTTTTTCTTATATTTATGTGTTTTATGTGAACAGGTGGTCCGAATGATATCATTCTATGTTCCTCCTATGTGTTGGAATTTGTTGGTTGTTTGGAATCCCACCTTACTAATGCACTATCTTCTGGGTACGATATGCCTAAACTCATAAGATGAGTCAATCAGAGTATTTTAGGACAAGAAATGAAATGTTGGTGTGACTCCACTACTAAGTTAGAATAAGCAATTCTTATCTTTGCATGATGCATTACCATTAAGCTTTAGGTTTCTCTTCGTCGGAATAAAATTGATAGGTCGCATACAGGTTCTAAAACAAACCAGATTCATTTGCCTGTTGTGCATAGGACGACATATCGGTCTCCGTTCTTCTACTTTTACCAAACACAGCCAATATCAGCTGTCTTAAGTTGTGACTTTTAACTAACATGGTTCATATGAAACAAAAAAACAGTTGTTGATTGTATTAATGGCCGTTCGACTTTGTAGTAAATTCATTGTGCACTTCAAAACAAGCGAATCCCGCTTTATTATTATTAAGAAATCCATCAAACATATTGTACATCAAGATGGATGAACTGTGGATGATATTCATTGTCAATAAAGTTAAATGTATTCTAGATGTAGTTGTGGTTCATTTATTATTTACACGCTTGAATTATGGCGGATTGTAACAACCAAGCCTCGGATCTCATGCATGATATGATAATCTATCTAGATGAAGAATATTTGACAATAAGTATAAGCTAACAATTTCATGGCCCATTAATTTTTTATTACGGTCGTTAGACTTGCCTTGACTACAGCATCTTATTTGCAGTGGTTACATGATAGCTCCTTACAATAAAATTTAAACTAATAGAATTAGAATTCCGCGTTCCTGCCTTGTGGTTTAGATAAATAAAAGGGAAAGCCATTAAGTTTAATCGTTTATGATCATTAGGTTGTGGCGTTATTCAGAAAACATTTATCACGTCTGGTCTTAATGCAGACTAGATATAAAGGACAACTTTCGAAGGATTGTTTATATTGAGATATAGGTCACATAAGACTAACTGAAAAAAATATAGCTTATGAACCTCACAAAACCTATCGACAATCTACCGCATGCGCAACTTGTAGCCCGATAAGTCGGAAGAACTAAAATAATTTCTGACAAGTGTACTGTAGCACAGTTACGTATGAGTGATAAATAGTGATTATGTTATAAACTTTAGAGAATGACATTGAAGATCCAGCTGAAATAATTCCTTAAATGCTCCTTCAGTTCGTTTAATTGACGAAATTTTACATGCGAATTACTACGGTTACGTAACGTAATCTATGAGTGTAAAGACGTCATGGGTATTCTGAGTTTAACAATGCTTTTACCAGGAACACCTTAATGACCAAAGTATGCCAACTTAGTCAAATCAGAAGCCAGAAATCAAGAGTTGTCAAGATATATTTGGAAGGCATCGATATCTCGAGAAGCGTTCGGTCTAATTTGGCTAACGATTGTACGAGATGCATAGCACCATGTACCCACTCGTGATTTGGTGCGGACGCATGACTTAATAGTTGCGTAAGGATCAGTTGGCCAACATATACCAACCTCAAGTTCTCTGTATATACAATTTACAGCTTTACCGATCAAGTATAACACATGTCATCGTTGGACAAGTTCACTGTAGCGCAATTCTGAGTGAGATGGAATATATTGACCTCTACAAAAATAATGACCAAAAATTTTAACTCTTATTCGCCAACATAGTTTTTTACACTGAAACGAACGAACCATCGCATATGACGCCCAATTTTTACATAATAACATACACGGGGGTACGATATAACTACAGTGAACTACATGATATGAAAGACCTGACATTCCACCATAAAATAACTAAGCGAGAGCCACGAAACTAAGGGGTTCATGCTAACTCATCACAAAGATATGGGATATACGTTAAATATCTCTTGTTTGCAATTTTCGGGACAGAAGCATCCTAGAGACATTTTGTTTATACTACTCGATGAATGTATTTGATCCTTGAAACCTGTTCAGTTTTTTCTAGGTCAAGTATACTTCTGAGCTTTTTAAGAACTAATTGTCTCCAAGGTATGGGTGTGGAAGATGAAATGAAGAAAGCGTCCTGCTCCTGTTCATCCGTATGTTTTGAATATCCTCAGTCAAGTATGACGCGTTCATCAAACAAAAGAAGAGGTTTGATAGAAAATATAGGACTTTGCGAGAGTAAGTTTGCTACAATAACCGTAGGAAATAGAGACAATGGCCGAAATCATGCTGAAAGAAAAAGGAAAGGCCTTTCCTGAAAAAGATTATAGTGATCAAAAGAGAAAATCTACAGAAACTTGTGTTTTTAAAGCACATCAAAATACGAAAACTAGTATTTCACCGTTGTCTGTTCAGAAGTAGGTTTTGTTCACTGAAATATGAAGCTTTTTACTATAGGAAGTACGACTCAAGAAAAACCCACGTAAGTGTTGTTTATTTCGATCCTTCCTAGAGATTATTAGTTACCTCAAAATTTCAACCTTTTTAAAAATACGTTATGATTTTGACCAAATTTCATAATAAATTCTGTGCAGAGTTCTGCTAGAAACCTCGTTATTTTTCATGGTTTGGATTTTTTCTTTGCAATGAAAAGATTTCGGGAAATCTTAAGTATTGGGAAACAAGTCACACATTATATATATAAAATATATATATATATATATATATATATATATATATATTTGTGTGCGTATTTATCATCGACTTTCTACCTGATGCTCAATTTATTTGGAACTATCAAGTCCAGCCTTGGCATTAATGCCCAAAGGATACATATATACTTCCGCGAAATTTCAGAAACTTGATTTAAAAGACCTCAAATGTTTTAAGGACATGGCGTCAATCCTTTAAATTTACGCGGGTAATAGACGCTTGTTCTGACAATCCTGAACTAAGGTCTATTCGAAAATTATACCATTTCATGAAGTTCATCTATCTACTGAAATCAAAGAGGGATATAGATTAGTTTGCGGATTTAGGATTAGGATATAGGATTGGAGGTTGGGGTTAGGAATTAGATTTTTGATGTTCACCACTAACTCGCATAGGCTATTTAGCTATTTGGATTAATGGATTTCTAAACGGAATCCACATTGCAACATGATCGATAGCATTCGATCTGCACTAATACGGACTAGACACGCATGACATTGATCGCCACCCATTGATCAATCAATTGTAAACGGACTCCAATATTTACCATCTTTGATTTCATTGGTCCGTCCATAATTTAGTCTCATCGAAAGCTAATCCTGTACTAGTTGCTGCATAAAACATAACTCTCGGTCGTGTCAGAATTCTCTGCCTAATATCGCTAGCATACTTGACTTGATAAACCGTTTTACGATGAACAAATACATAGTCTAAATGTATTGGTTGCTTGAAACTTCCCATCAATGTTTAGGACTCCAATTGGTCAGTCTCTTTTGTTATACGAACATCCTATGAGGATCGCACAAATATTGCTACAAAGTCATGAACACATATCTCAAAAAATCTGCAAGCATCCCTATTACCATTGAGACTGTCACTACCTGTACCGTTCTGGGATTCGGCCTGACAGCGTCACTGTGTCAATGGGGTGTGTCAACTTGAACCGATGTAAATACATACCACGTTCTGCATTGCGACTGGCTGATACCAAGAGAGACTGATCAATCGAAGTCCTAAACATCAATGGGAAAATTCAAACAGCCAATATATAAAAATTAAAATCCACCTCCTTTCACAAGCCAGTGGCCATCTAGACTCAGTAGCCATGTGGGCAACGCGATGGTGCAGGGGCGATCGGTACTGGGTTTAAGTTACGGAGTGAACATCAAAACCAGGATTCAGGTACATCCACTTGACGAGTTCAAAAATTTCACTGCTAGCCATCAAATATATCTGCGTAAAAATAGGTAAATTGTTAGGAATAAGTCATTTGTAAACCTAGTGCAAGAATATGTGATTCGAAGTCATTTGCATCATTAAAGTAGTCCTATTTTGTGCATTTTCCAACATCTTAGATCGTATTTATCCACTGATATTATAAAAAGACTGACAAATCATAAATGGGTATATTGTTTGGAATAGGTCAGTTTTGAACATTGTCAGTGAAGATTACTGAGCTAGTATCACATCTTCAGTCTATATGTTGTCAGTTCTTCAAAGGTCAGTTACAGTTCATTTGAGTGTTACAGAACAGTTTTTTAATTCAGCCAATTTTTAACTTCCCTCAAATAATTAATGCAATGGATAAAGACGCCGGTACATTTTGTGTGGAGAGGAAAAATAAACACATGCTGAGGTGGTGTACCCATAAACTCTTAAACAACTCGTTTCTGAGCAGTAACGTAGAACATGGAGTGGTTAAACCTAATTTCTCCACTGATTTAACAAATTCAGTCGTGACAGTATCTGAGCACTCCTAGATTGAATAAGCGATTAGTGAATCGTCAGCAAAATAATTTGTCCATTGAATCTGCAATAATTCTCGGCTAAACACCGGTCATCACGAAATACCTCCATATTATCTAATGCTTTTAAGAGTCAGTGATGTTCTGAATTAATGGCCAAGTGAAAAAGCATAACACAGACTCCTTTGCTACAGAGGATTACTACGACTATCTGAAAATACCTAAAACTCATTTGCATAACCTTTCCTTCTGTTCATCAATTCAGGAATATGGAGTCAGATTTAGAAAACATCCAAATCGTTAAACGAGGAAATCCCACAGTTTTTTCGTGGACAGAATAATTAGACCGTACCTAACCATCATTTATCTTTAGGAGATATCTTATGGTGTTTTTTATGTCAAATATGTTTCCTAAAACGACAGAGAAAATCAAAATCACCCTCACAAAGAACTAAATTTAAATCGACTTAAATACCTATGAATTGTTGTAGATGGTATTATCGGTAATGCTTTAAAAACTGTAGACACTAATCGAGAGATAATAACGGAAAACAAAGGCCAATCTTATGGCTTATGAAGAGGTGACTCTTTTCACTCATAAACCTTTTCGTGAATATTTAGATTCCGAATGCTTAATGTCCTTATGTTTTTAGGCCAATTTTATGAGCTTAGTCTAAATCCTCCGAATCTCTGGAAAAGAGGATAGCTAATTAAATATCAAAACGTTTGCACGTGGATTCATTTAGGCCGCTTCTAGTAGTGAATGCTGTTCGCGATAATACGATCTTAAACTAATTACATACCTCAAATTTTTTGATGAATACACCCATGCCACATATGGTGGTACTTCTGGGTCAGCAATTCATATCCTCATATTTTAATGACTACTCACCATGTTTGACTCATCCGTTGTGGATATTATTCTTTTTGTTATAGAGCATAAGTCGTGACCCGCATGAGAACCTGAAATGAAAAATGCATATTTGCAAACCCACAGTAGATATGAACTGCTTTGTCTCCTTAAAACTTTATGTGTTATATCTTACTTTGACAAATATGTATGAAAATATTTCTCCTGACAATCTTAAACTACTAGTTGGATCCATCACTATTCATATATTATCCCGCATAAACACCTATAATAATTTACTAATCTATTTAAAATATAAGCTGTTCAAGTTTTCAGATACTGCCACCTTGATATTTTTGTGAAAATAATTCTGAATGGAGTTTGATTTACCTTCCTGCCAGTCGTTATATAATGAAATACATATTACAATCGGTTTTTTTTGTTCTGATTAGATGTTACTTGAAGGTTTGGCATGTTGCAAACTTCAAACAAAGAAATTACTTACTTACGTCTGTTACTCTTCATGTAGCGTATGCCACTGACCAGGATTATTTTAACTATTGTGTTCCAGGCTCTCCTTTCCAATTGTTCTCAAGTGCTATTCATTCTTTTGATACCTGCTCCCAATTCTCTGAGCTATGTGTTACTTGGTCTGCCTCTCTTTTTTGCCTTAAGGATTCCATGTTAGGGTTTGCTTTGTGACGCGGCTCGATGATCTCCGAAGAGTGTTACCTATCCACCCCCAGTACGTTTTCCTTACCCACTTTCCATCTGAAGGCTGGTTTGTTCTCTACCACAGTAGGTTGTTGCTGATGCTATCTGGCCAGTATATCTGGAGTCTCTTGTGAAGACAGTTGTTTTTAGATACCTGTACTTTTATGATGGTTATTGTGTTCTACTATCCACATTGACGAACGCTTCTGTTTAGATGTGGAGGTTTTCATACTCATATTTCTAGCTCATTTTGGAGCTAATTTATCGGTGATATCTGTGCCGTTTCCAGGTGCCCATTTTTTCTGAGATTTTAGGAGCCTTTTACTTATTGTCAAGTAACTATTGCATACTCCTAATACATATCGAAATAACTAATCAAAACAGAGCCTAGGCATAACCAAAAAATCACACGTTGAAAGGTATGACTTCGGAGCCTAAGTTGACAGAAGTGTGATGAAGGTCTCACGTGAACCGAAAATGAACATCAAGCATTAGTATGTGGGGTGGGGTTACACCTAATACGAAACAAACGATTTTTGTCACTTAGAATGTATACGCGAGTGGATTTTTTACATATACAAAGCTCATTACGATGCGAACGTTGAGACCTGTATAACTGAATGGATGGATAAAAGAGCATCATCCATATGTAGACCTAGTATTTGAAAGGTTTCACGTATATGACCTTACAACTAGAACAGAAAGATGTCAAGTTAGTACCAAATCAGTGGACTTTGTTGAGATTACCGTTAAAGGTCGATGATAAACGTGTTGATGACCATTTTGGGGCACCTAGAATCAAGCACCATTCATGATTTTGCCTATGTCGCGAGGCTAAAGACAAATACTGTGTTGACTTGAAATCAATGAGATCTGACTAGAGAGGCCTATCTTGATGAATTGTTTTTCTTTCCAGTCTGTTTGTACATGTTCTTCGTCTCAAACATTTCTAAAGCGAATGTGGTCGAGCATCTTTGCAGTCACTCGTCTGTCTGGCTTTGGTTCTTCAGCTTGTACGTTGTCTGGTCTTGGTGCCTTCTCACTCTTGATCTTTCTGATGATCATGTTGGTGCGGTAACATCTATATGTGTCTCATGTTTCCTTCTGTTTCAGCCTTTTCTACCGTCATTGTTAGGCATTCCTCATTTTTGGAATTAGGTACCTACAGATAAATTTTTTGAATAATTCTCTCTACTGTGGCATAAAGAGTCTTATCAGTGCTGTAGTGAAAATAGGTAACTATGTATGTAACCAACAATTATAATTTTTTTCCAAAATGTAACTAACTACAATTAGTACAAAAGGGCAAAAAAATTGCAGTCGATAACAACGGGAACAACAAGCAAATTCATATAGAACAATAGCACAGAAACGGTAAAAAAGGTTAGTCATGTTTATGCATCTGGTGCAATTTAGCGACAGTGATAGTGGTTGAATATGTAGAGTTAAATAAGTTTAAAGTATTTGATTTAAAAGAGTATTGTACAAATAGACTGATGACTGTCTAGCGTTTTCTTACATGATGTTTTGAGTAACAACGATGGAATCCCTGTACGTCCCACAGTTTTCATTCATTTCATATCGATTGTGCTGGTAGGCAGAAGCTAGAATAACTGTCATTAAATGAAAATTCGTGTGATTTAATTACGGTTAGAATGAGAAAATTAATTGTCATTAACCAGTTTAAGGCGTTAATTGAATGCAGTATTATATGTTGCATATTTATGATTAGCTAGACTAATTATTATTAACTGACATGTTTACTGACAGTTTGAGTTGATGTTGAATATCTCAAATGGAGTCTACCGTTTATCTTCATTTTTCTCAAACACTACAAGCTTTTGCAAAAATCTTTGTTATATGTTCTTAAACCTGTAGTACTTGTGTTGTAACAACAGAAATTCATGAATATAATGACTTCACTTGTTTATCACATTTTTAAATTCATCCCAGAAAGCTACAAATCGCCAGGTATATTCTGAAAGACGTCTGCCAAAGAGTTCTCCAGATATGGCAACAAAATTCACAGAAGAAAATATATCTTTTCTACTTTCACATATTTTAACAGACGGTAGCGGCCAGCCAACAAACGGAAAGCAATCCGTTAATTACCATATATCCACTGAAATCCCAGAGCAAACATTCATTCAAAAACCAACGAATCCAATCAATGTTGCATCCAAAGAAACCGATAAAGGGATTCAACAAAGCAAGTTTATCACAGAGCACTGTGACTCGTCTATGTTATTTTATGTTTTTTAACGGACAAAATTGTTGCAGTAAAAGTGTTACTGAGATATAAGATGAAAATTCAACGGTTAAGTAGGGGTTTTTAAAGACGAATCCATTTATTTTTAATATGCATGATGTACATGTTTACTGTGACAATGAATTCCTATATACGTAGATAAAATTTGATGACGCTATAAATGAAAATAATTCTTTGAAATATTGTGCTGTACGTGACGCAATACAAGCAAATTCGTCATGGTCCTTAATATTCAATGGAATTTTATCTCAACTCAAATTAATATATATATATATATATATATGACACTGCATCAAAACATTTGTTCTAAATCATGTTATCTTCAATTTAACTTTGTTATTGTAATTGTAAACACATCTCAGTCCTACAGGAGGTCGGTCGCGGCCCGGATATCTCAGTGGTAACGTCTCTGATTGTGAGGCCGGGTGACACGGGTTCGAATCCATCGGAAGTCACCAGTTGTCTCAAGATTTCAGGTACAGCATGCTGACGAGTGCCAAGTAGCACGAAACCTAGGTCCAGGGTTCCTTGTTCACTACCTCCAACCACCATCTTATCTCATAATTGTGCACTCAATGTTTAGTCACTTAGACTAATGTCCACATTGCAACTTGGTCGATTGGATTCGATCGGCATTAAGAAGGACCTGACATACATGACATCGATCACCACCCAGTGATTGTATTTACTTACAGTCCTTATAATTACCAAAACTACCACTTCCCCTTACAATGATATCTAGGTGTATTGTGAACTTTTTCCGAAATGTATGAGGATTTTACTTATTATTCATTACAACAGATAATAGGACATTTTGAATTGTGTCTATATATGGTAATTGGTTTGATGAAAATGTTGAAATTTCATAATACTATTACTCATGATCACATGGTTAGTTGAAATTGGATTCTATTTTTATATTGATTCCAATTATTGTTTTGCTATATCGATGTTTGTACTCTTTACGGAGATTTTTGAAATTGTACCTAAAGTAGTAATAACCATGTATGTATACATGTATAACTCAATGTGTGTTACGTGTTTCTTTATATATTGGTTCAGCTTATCTTCCTAATTTTCCCAGACTGATATTTTCTCTGAAAAGTGTTTTCCGTGATAAGATAGCACTTGTGTCTTTTCGTTTCAGTTTCAATCCAATATACAAGATGACCTTATTGTTTCAAATGACTCAAACTTAACTTAGCATAGTCTAATCCATCTTATGAATAATATGGGATATAATTTATCTTCATAAATGTTCTTGCCATGTCCTGACACATTTGTAATTAGAAACCATAAAATACCATTTTTCTAAACTATTGTAAAACTGGAACCACATCTTTCTGATTTGCATTATTTTGGATTTAACATTTAAACTCGTGCCCTATCTATTTTCTTATGAGTTTGTTTTAATCATAAAAATTCATTGTCCAGACACATTTTTCTAATGATTTTTTAGATCCTAAAATAAATGCAGAGCATGGTATTGAATCAAATAAAATTCCAGTATCAATAAATTTCAAAAGCTTTGTACGAATCACAAGTGATTATGATGTTCAGCATGAGGTTTTGTAAGAGATTAGACTTCATAAACTAAGTAATTGCTCTAATCTAAAGTGAAATATGTGCAAAAAATAATGTAGTCAAATTCCTAAATCTGAATGAACTGAGTAACTATTTAAGCATTCTGGAAAGGCTGTTCATTTCACTCAATATCTCACGAGATTTAGGAATTAATGAGTGTCTTTAATAAATTTCATCTTCAAATTAATGTTGACGCCAAATGCAACATGTTTAGATTTTCATCTTATTTCAGAGATAAGTACTATTGAGTTGTTACTTTGCATAGCTTATACTCACGTTGAGTTAAATGAATGACTGTATTAAGAATTTATATTTTCAAAGATATTAATGTACACGTACTATATTATAGACTCATCTTACCGAAATAAGCTATGCTCTCAACAGAAATTTAGATCTCTTACTATAGAGTAACTGATTTAAAAGTAGTATCCATTCAAAAGAGTGTACATTAATAAGAGCGACTATCAGAAAAGCGTATATTGATAAAGGTGAGTATTGAAATGTCCTTTCTGCTCTCCAGAAAAAAATAATGAACTTTATTCTGTCGATTGTTGACATCTGCGATAATAAAATACAAATGACTGGGTTTTGTTTAATACTAATTAGCTGAAGTGGTCAATCGGTTGTTGATGGTTTTAATTTCTAGTCATTTTTTATTACTACCTTCATGTTTTTAAGTGGTCAATTATCTTCTAGATATTTGATTTTTTCTAATTTTTTTGTTTTTGATCGCTACGCAATATTATTTCGATCCTTGGAATTGACAGACTAAGAGAGGTTATAGGCATTAAAACGTAAGTGACATAGACATTCAAGATTCGGACATCAACTTCCCAGCATGTTAATAACTCATCAGTTTAAGAGGGCGATTTATTAAGACAATAAAATAATCCCGACAATACGTTAACTAACTGAATATAATACATCAAATGAGAGCATTAAAAGGGAGTAACATCAGTTTAGTGTAGATGTAAATGTTACGTACATTATAAAAATTTTCGTAACACAGTTTACCATTTTAGATGTGCAGATTCACATTATGTGCCATTCCACGCAGATAGTCTAGTGTCGATCTATTTACGTAATCCTCTACGAACAATTTGATACATACTGCTACCTCTCCATACTTTCTCTTTACTTCCTGTTCCTGAATTTCTGAAACAGACTGTTTGATTTTCAATCCATTTAGACTCTATTCCCTTTTTACAGCATTAATCAATTTCTATATACTTGAATGAGCGGTACTAATAACTTGGCTAAAGCCTCTATACCACCATTCCACCACATTCTTCGTTTTCGGAAAGCCCTCCACAGCAGAGTTAAAATGGTAAATATTTTACATCATGAAAAATCTTATTCCCTTTCAATCCTCAACTTCATTAACATGCACCTTTTTGATGGTCACCCTTTTACTCACGCGCTTAATGGTGTGAACCTTTGAAAATATGGAAAACTTTTTATAGAACCACGGAATAAATTTAACAAGTACTAGAACCAACAATTTAATTACAAATAGTTAAATCAGTTTCAACGTTATTTTAGACGTCAACTTCGGTTTTCGATTGCTACTCGTAAATCGTACACTAAAATTTTTGATGCTAATGCCTCGAGGTTTGAGCAATTTTTACACTTGTAGTACTGCATTTATTTGATAACACTAATTAGGATTATTTCAGTTTTCTAGAAGTTACCAATGTGTTTTATGGAAGTAACAAAATTTAACTAGACTAATTTAACAATAGCGTTACGAATACCCATAAGATTTTGTTTCTAAATACTATTGACAGGAATTCTCAATCGTTGCTAGTTAGTAGTATACAACTCGAGCACACATCCTGCCAGTTATTATGTGTTACTACAATAGCTTGTCAGTTGTTTGAAAAAAAACTCCCAGATCTAAATGAATAGGTTTATATGAATAGAGCAAGAAGAACGGACGTGACAGAATCAGTCAGTCAGTCAGCTACAGCGTAGGACCAGGCACATATATGTTTCGGTCCAAGTTGCCACACCTCATTAGCACAACAAGATGAACACCGAATTCATAGAGGGGGTTAATTCAATGGTGGCAATACATAAAAAATTGCATGTAAAGATATAGTACAGAAAGAAAGGTATAAGATAATTTTATTCTCACAGTTTAAGGGAAGACAGAGAGTGTATAAGCCTACGTCGTTGTGATCGATTCTGAGCCACGCCACAAAGAATCTCCAACCATTGGTTACGATAGTTACGCGGACCCAAACCAAGTAGTCTGCATCTACCAACATGGCTAAGACTAGAAGTTAGTGACTTTATGGACTGATGCCACGTTTTGGTTTGGCCGCCTCTAACTTTCTTTCAACCATGCCTAACACTAGTCAGCATTGTGCGTCGTAGTAATCGGTGTTCAGGCATGCATAACACGTGGACCAACCACCTCAGTCGATGAAGATTTACAACCTCATCAACTGATTTACAATCATTCCCTAATACTTTGCGTCTTACCTCACTACTACTTACTCAGTGTTCCCAGCAGATGCGAGCAATATTTCTAAGACATTTGTGATCGAATAATAGTAACTAACGAGTACCCTTTACGGAGACGTTTCGCAGCCGTAAAGTAAAATAGAACGGACTACTGAGCAGTATCCCCGTCCTTTCATTGACAGACGGGTATCTCGCCTTCGCCACAGGTGACGTAAGTTGGCAAAAGCCCAATGAGCTTTCTCAATCCCTGCAGAGATTTCGCCAGACACCAACCCATTAGGACCGATAAGACTTCCAAGATAATATAAGTGCTATGAGTACTATGTCTGATCGCTGAGCTTTATCAAGCAGTTTAGAGAGCTTTCTGTAAAAGTCATCTCTTACTTCATCCAAGCTGCAGTCAATGGAAGCGTAGGCAGAAACGACGAAAAGGCAACGGTGTGTGTCCATATGCTTCCGAGTTCTTACGGAGTCGTTTAGCCGACCAGCACATAGACAACTGTTAACGGGCATCCACTCTAACAGTGCTTGTTCCACCCTCATGCTTAGTGCTATGCCCACACCTGCCAGTCCACAAGAATCAATCATGGAGTCGTCAGATACACGGATAGTGTGTCTCGTCGGCTCTTCGTTTTGGCGAGGTGAGGCCAAGTGAATGACCACACTAGGATCCTGTATGTGTGTTTCAGAGTCACAGCATACATTAATGGTACGAGATTCTAGTGTTTTAGTCAAGGAGGTCTGCTGACCGATTCGACATAGGATGCGTACGTTGAAGGCTCCAATGTGTAGTTTGTAGCGAGGTTTAAGTAGACCTTGGACAGTGTTTCGCGCACTAGAATCGTTGGCTATGGTGACACTTGAGGAGGAAGCCAAAAGAGTAAGTTTAGAGTTGAAATCCGATGTAGGAGTAATGATAAGAATTGAAGAGGTTGATTATGAATACAGTGGTCTTGAATGCTGTTAGAGGTATGATGGCAGTTATCACTTCTTGGTAACCTACACCGTGGAGGGGTTCTTTTAAAGATACAGTCGGCAGTACGACTGCCCTCATACCTTGGGTTTGCTGCTCTTAGTCTTTCCGCTGTTCAACCTATCTGTCTTAATCTTTTATTCTCACTTTCTGAGGACCAGTGTCAGAGATGAAAACATTAACTCTCCTTTCTTTTCTTTCAATGTCTGTGCTTCGGCATATGTAAACTAGTGTGCATAATTATGGCTAACATTAAGTGGTTATCTGTCCACCTTGAATGTTTCAGCGAGATAGTGATGAAATACAAGTGTGGTTGAGATCTTGTCTTTTTGAAATGTGCTTATTTTAATGTTAACAAATATCCTTTTTAAGCAATTCTAATTCCTACTATTTTTACTGTCAATCGGCAAACCTTTAGCTGGTTCAGTTCAGGATGTCAATAGACTTAATAGTCCAATTTCAAAAGCTTCTAAGTCAATTCAGTGCTCAATTGACAAACCAACTACAAATTCTGTTGAAATTCATTGTGATATTTTAAGCGTCATTAAAAATGATGATTTCTCATTTGTTCTCGATGAGAACAGTAAATTAATTGCTCAAGTAAGTATTTCAAATCATTATCATTAAATATTTAGCCTACTTGATGTAAAATTTTGTTTTATTAACTGCAAGGCGCACTTCAGATGTTCCCGTTGAAACGTAACCACGAAAGTGACAGATTTTCATAGTCGGTAACACAGTCTATTACTTGTTACGTATAAAACACAAGAACCAAATAAGGTCTGATTAAACTTGAATGGATATTACAACTTTAGATTCTTTATTGAAATTTAGCTAACGTTTCCTTGATTTCAATTCCATGAGAAAGTTTGGTAATCTCCTAGTTGCAATATGAATTTCTTTTTAAAGGAATTTATTGAAATGGAAGAAACCGTAAACGTTGTGCTTCAGATACTTAACTCGAATAATATTTTTGTCAAATAATCAAGCTGCCTTTATCCAATACTTCTAAACTGTTTGACTACTTTTGGTGCTGTTCATTACACCACATGGAGATTTACTATAGATCAGATTATTTCTAACATGTATCAGTACTATAAACATGTGATATTTCAGTACTCACATAATTGTTACAAGAAACTGTCACTTGTTTTGATGACAGTCAGCCGTGTAGTCTTCAATGTTTTTCTTGTCTTTCTATATAATTGTTGACTAGTACACAATAACCTAGAACACAGAAGTCAGTTATGCGGAAAGACCGATATGATCATTCACAAGCAAAATTAATCTACGATTTTGAGCAAACATCAATGATTATAAGTGAGCTGAATACTCAACTGAAAATACTAATTACAGTCCTTATTATTTATTTAATTATCAACTAATCTGTAAGCATATTAAAACCCATTTCTCATATACCACTTCAAGAGAAATCAGTCTTCATTTATGACCTAATTCTATTGATAAAAATATTCAGTACGATTATTGAACTAATATCATTATCACTGACAAATTCTAATAAATCAGGTTAAATATAAAGATGTAAGCCAAACGCTATGCCTAAATTAAAATAAAGTTTGTGATTTACGTTACTGATTAATACCACTTTTCAACAATCGTTTCTATCATTAAAATGTCCCATAAATATTTCACTCGTTTTGCATCTTGTAATGGTTCATTAAACTAAATTTTTGCTATGTTCGAGACATTATGATTTTGCATTCGTACCGGCGGACGAAACGTAAACCAGCAACGCAATAACAGGACGAATCTAAGCTATCCATCGGCGCCTCAGCCTGTTAACTAAAGGAAGAAGACGAAACTCAGTGGGGAAAATAAATCATTCGACAAACAGCTCGGAAAAATGAAAAAACAAGTACTTAACTCATGCATGATATATACAATACAGAAATGTCTTTGAAAAGCGTCACGGAATACCATACTGAAAGAGAAAACGAGCCAATGACGTTTAAAATCCTTCCGGGTGGGAAACACAAACGGAAGATAATGAATGCTTTTGGCGCGAAAATGAGAAATTCAAAGTTCCACAATTGAATTACAAAATAAGAAGTCCAACCAAGTCATTTCGGAAATCTACCATCACCAACAATTTCCTTACCGTTTACTCTTTGTTAAGAATTATCTAATAATAAATTATGATTTGAAATATCCTTAAGCACTTTTCATTAATTGAACAGGTGAATGTATGCTGTTTTCTAATCACTCTGATATCAGCTATTTATGTTTCATTTAGTATGTTTGATTCTGTGAAACGAAATTCTAAATTTTTCCGTAATTAGTTTTTGCATAGCAAACGACAACTTCAGGATTTTTGTCGGAATGCGTTTCGAAAATATATTTTGAAGCTTAATAAGATAGAGCTGGGTTTCGAAAATTATTTTGAAGCCTAAGGATATAGCTAGTTATTTTAATATGATTAAGTTCTTATTCTTTAGATTTAAATGCAGTGATTGAGGTTTTCCTGTTGTCTCACTACTATGTTAAACAACCATACAAAAACTATCAACACTTTTGGATTATCATAATCTTCTATTGATTCTAATTTGCAGCAGAAAGCACACATTGAACATTTAAAGCATGCTCTATCATCGGAACAAAATAAAGTTCAAGGTCTACATAGTCAGTTGTGCAAAAATCAACTCGAATTTGACAAAGCTAAATTAGGCTGGTTGCAGAAAGAAAATCAGTTTAAAGTGAGTTAAGAAACTGTTGACCATTTTAAACCGCATTTCTGCTCTATATGATAATAACGATTCAGATCTACGTCTTCTTCGTTAGTTTATATATCATGCGGGCGAACAGTTCATTAGACAAAATTAATTAGATTGAATTCATATTTTCAATACAAATATATAAATATGAGTATAAGTAATAGATTTTTAGTAGTATCTTAGTTACTGCAATATTTCATAATTAGTTGTTTTAATATTTCCATATAATTTAAAATGAGTAATACAAAAAAAAGTATAGTGCATCGAAAACGTATCTTATTGGCAGTTCGTATAATTAATCGTTTGTTTGATTGACAAAAAAATAGTTCAAACTAAGTCTACGTGAATGAATTAAACTTCATCCGTTAGTTTAAATTAATGTAGTTTACTCACTTATTGGTTTAGTTTGTGGTGTCCATATCAGTTTTATCTATGATGTATGATATCTCTGAAATAATTGGTTTCAAAATGATTGGATCGATGAATAGTTGGTTTCTATTATCGACATCTGGATTTTAATATCATCATTTGACTTATCAACAGCATCAATTTGCAAGTATTGTTTTACTTTATAGATAAACTAACTTTGATTAATCCTTGTATTTCTTTTTTTCGAGCTTTCTTAGTTATTAACCTTGTAGAATATAAGAGAAGGCTTGCATGTGAGCATTAGTTATAATCTTCGGGTGTGTATTTTTCATGAACTAAAGTTCAAAATCCTACAAACTTAATCTTATTTTGTGAGGAGAATCAACTTTATACATTTCCATTAAGATTACCTTCCGTGATACTTGACTGCATCTAAACAGTTTAATTCAATCTCAATAGCTTCTTGAACGGTGTCTAAAACTGTTGAAGAAATCCCAAAATATTCCTCGTCGAAGTCCCTAGAGGCCCAGAAACGATAGGAAACATTTTACTCTATCAGCTTTAAATGGAATTTTTTCATAAACATCTGGAAGATACAAAGTAACGTTCAACGGTTTTGATTCAGCATTTACCCACACCACTTTACATAGTTTGGTGACAAAAATTTCCGGAAGCTCAAGTTAGTGTTAACATATAAATACCGTCGTTCTTAAGTACATAAACCAACCTTGGAGTTAAGCTTTTACTTGCATTCGCACATTCTCTCTAGCGCTCCAGATAATGTGTATTAGTAGCTGGAGATATCGGGAATGGCTGAGTACAGTTTATGCATATCAGTTGAAAGACTTATCAAAACACTATAAAACTTTAATTGATTATGTAGAACGAAATAAATTGATCGCAAAAACAGTTCCCTATTATTTCAGTATACGTAGTCGAGTTTCAGGACTATAAGAAACATCTAGACGATGTTCTTTGCTTTCGACTAGTTTCATAGCTAAATCTAGGATTAGCAAACCAGTAGTGTTAGAAAAGGCAATGGACAGAAAGAAAGTATGTTTATTTAAGAGGTTACGAAGTATTTACATAATAAATATACTTTGTCTTCAGTCGTCCATTTTCATTTTTCAATGTGTTCTATCTTCTCGTTTTAACAGAAAGTCCCCTAGTAGCAATAAAGCCACTCCATGTTCTTAAACATTTATCAAAAATTTGTGTCGACTGAATAAGATAATAAAGCGTATTATAAGACTGTCCCAATGCACACTTCTTTCTGAATCTTCGCGGCAGCACGGCTGTTAGTGGTAGTGGGTGGACGAAAAACCAATGTCTGTCGCTTAAACCGGGTTGGCGGATACGGAGGATCCATATGTGTGTGTGTTGGAAAACCCTGGTTTCAAGTCAATAGTGCGAATAAACCCTAGGGTATTGAGGGACCAAATGGTATACGAACCTATTTTAGTCACCAAATAACATGGGATCATCTCTCCTGACCTTGCTGCTCTTCCTTTTGGATTAGACCTCTAGATTAAAGACCTGAAGAGTGTCCTTCTAAGGTAACCCTTTGATTCTGTCTGGGCACTTGGGAAGTATCACAGTTTACGAAACGTTTGATGGTGACTACAGCCGAAGAAAATAGTCTCGTTCCTATTCCCGTTCTCACAACTATTTAGTAACATTCACTTGTATTTTACATTGCATCACGTATCTATTCTCTTTTATACCCACTTCGTGTATTCCTTTATCCTTCAACTCATACAGCAGTTCACCTGTGGTGGAACTTCTGTCCTATTTAAACTATCTCAAGTAACTGACTGGTCAAGGGTTGAGCGCTATCACCGAACACGAGTTCTGAACCAGCCTTTCTGAATCTACCTATGCCACCCTAACTAGCCTCCTTCAACAAGCACACACTAATCCAGATCGGACAACAGATAGGGTTGGTTATGCCTTCGGAAGGTTTCAGCATCGATGTCTGTTGTCTATCCGATATCAGTATTCAAGACTCTAGTGAAGAACTGTAAATTGGCTCTCCATCTGTTGCTTCAAAAGCTTGTTTCATGTGTGGTTATCCAGGGACCCTGTGACGTCTTCGTCCGGTTTTTGTAGCGTTGGCGTTGCACTAAGCGCCAGAATATAAGCAGGACTAATCTATGAGGTCCCAATCAACGGTCGATTATTTACTACTAAGTAAGAATGCCTCATCAAATTGAGAAGAAATCGGTGTGGGAAACGATGACCTTTCTTGATCTCCGCATATGCCCCAACAGATTGCCTGGATTCTATCAAGGATGAGTCCTACCACCATTTAAGTGGTCTCCAGAAAGTGCGTCCAGCATATATTGTGGTACTAGCCGGAGATTCGAATGTGCAGATCGAGCGTCTAGAGACCGAGGGGATCCGTTTAAGTAGCCAATGGGAACTCGTCGGTTGCAGGTCAGATAACGGTGCTGTCATCCACAAAGTTCAGTCAGTCAGTAACAACGTAGAACTTCGTACGTATGCACGTACATCGGTTCGAGTTGCCACACCACATAAGCACAGAGATGCAGTGGTCGATTCAAATCCCATAGTGGTAGAGGTAATAACAGTATAAGCAGTAATCGGGAAGATTAGTGTTTGAAGATGTTACTTAAAGAGCATAATACAGTGAAGTAAATTTGGGAAGAGAAAAAGAAGAGACAAGGAGGAATAAGGAGATCAAAATTTGGGAGAACACAAAGAGTGTATGCACCTGCACCATTGCAAACGATTTTGAGCCATGTCATTCAGGGTCTCTAACCATCGGTTGCTATCATCTCGCGGTCCCCAACCAGGTAGTCTACACCTACCAACATGACTCAGTTCACTTGTCAGTGACTTCATGGACTTGTGCCATGTTTTGTTTTGGCCGCCCCTAGCTTTCTTCCAACCTACTCCTATACCACTGAACATCGCACGTCGAGGCAGTCGGTTGTTGGGCATACGTAACACATGTCCCAGCCATCTCAACTGATGAAGTTTCACTACGTCATCAATTGATTTGTCATCCTTACCTAGTACCCGTTTCCTAACAACTGCATTACTTACTCGATGGTCCCAGGATATACGCGCAATATATCAAAGACACCTATGATGAAATGCTAGTAAACTACGGATATCCTTCACTCTTACCGGCCATGTTTCACAGCCATGAAGTAGGACGGAGCGAACTGCTGCGCAGTAAACCTGTCCTTTGTTTGGTAGACGGATGTCTAGCCTACTCCATAAATGACGCACGTAGGCAAAAGCTAGTCGAGCCTTCTGTATCCGTGCTGAGATTTCGTCACACACCAGACCACAAGGTCTGATGAGACTTCCCAGATAAGTGAAGCGGTTGACACGCTCAACTACTTCACTCCCTATCAATAGTTCGGGTGTCAATCCAACCCAATCCTTAAGCAGTATTTTGCATTTCGAGGAGGAGAATCGCATCCCGAATATGCTTGCATTGTTGCTTAGAGTGGTCAGAAGACTGCATTTTGTCAGCATCTTCACCAAATAGAACTGTGTCAGTATGTTCTAGGTCAAAAAGTGAATTTCCCGGTAAAAGTCCAACTTCTGGAAATTTAGATGGGGAAAGTGTTATCTCTAAAAGTACGTCGACGACAAAACTAAACAAGAATAGAGAGAGTGGACAGCCCTGACGAACACCACTTGAGGTAATCAATTCTGATGACAGTTCTCCATAAGCTCTCACTCGACCGGTTGTGTTCGAGTAGAGAGTCTTTATAAGGTTAATGTACTTCTTTGGTACTCCTTTCAGTTATAAACACTGCTATTGAACCTCGAATACTGCCTTAAGGTCGAGAAATACTACGATTGTGGGGCGTCTGAACGTGTGTCCGTGTTCTAGGACCTGACGTAGTGTGAATATCTGGTCTATACAACCACGTGTGGGCATCACTTACATGGCTGCCTAACTGTTTTTCTAGTTGTTACTGAAATATATTCTTAGCTTGGCTCTCATTAAGTAGAACCCAAGAAGTTTCCTTGCAGCGTCTTTCCTACGTCCAGTAAGACGCAAGCAAATACGCGCTCGCACTAGAGCATGATCTGAATCTAGGCATATGCTCAAGAACGAGCGACAGTCTTCCAGCGAGCCCCTACATCGGTGGCTGATGGAGATGTGATATAGTTGGGTCCAACATTGGGATGAGTTCTGGGGTCATCAAGTCAAAAGGTGTTTTTCCTTATGCTTAAAGTTAGTATTTGCAAGGAACAGGCGGTTATCTGTTCTTTGGGTCACGACTCCATAAGATCCACCCAGGTGTCTTTCCTTTCGCTAAGTTTACCTACTTGAGCATTAAAGTCACCGGCGACTATTACTTCATCCGAGCGCCTAACTTTTCGGAGGAGGTTGGATAGCTTTCTGTAAAACTCATCTTTTACCTCATCTGCGCTGCAGTCAGTGGGAAGATATTCACAGACGACGAAGAGGCTACGGCGAGTGTCCATATCTTTCTGAGTTCTTACTGTTCCGTTTAGTCGGACAGAGCAGAAACGACTATCTACTGGGATCCAGTCTAAGAGAGCTAGTTCTGTTCTAGGACTCAACGCTATACGTACACCAGCGAGGCCACGGGAAGCAGAATCAAGGCTTCCAGATACACAAAGCGTGAATCGAGATGACTGTTTATTTTGATATGGTGAGGTCAAATGAATGACGCTACTCGGATCCTGTATGTGCGTTTCGGAGACGCAGCACACATTTATGACGCGAGATTCTAAAGTCTAGCTAAGGAAGCCTGCTGTTTTATTTGGCACAGTGTTTGGACGTCAAAAGCTCCTACATGTAGTTTAGAGCGTGGTTTCAGGATACCAGGAATAACGTTCCGCGTGCTCGAATCGTTTGCCCTAGCGGTGCGAGGTGATAAAGAGACGTGAGGAGGGTTAGTCATGGAGATAAGAGAGGTATTAGGAGGTGTAGGAAGGATTTGAATGTGACCACCTTGGTCTCGTGTGCTGTTACGGGTATGAGGGCTGGTGTCACTTCCCGGCTGCCCACACCATGGAGCGTGACCGCTGAGCCCAAGAGACAACTGGTTGAGGCCGGTCGCGCACGGCCTTTTTGTGGAAGGTTTTTAATGTGTTAGCTCCGTTTTACAAAAGGCCTTACCGCCGGAGACGGAAATTCGTGAGGTAAGGTGAGGTGTGACATTTTTAGTGTCGACCTTTTCTAACCCTACCCCTCCTTGTGGGGAGGCAGCATCGCTGCAGATGCTGGTTGTCCGAGGGAAACACCTTACTGCTGTCACACCTCTGTACAGTCAGTAGTACGACTTCGCCCTCAGACCTTGAGTTGCTGCTTTTAGTCTTACCGTTCTCCAATCGACCTGCCTGGCATGGTAGAACCTACAGGAACATATGTTCCAGCCAATATGGCTCGGTTGGGTCATCACGATAGGCAAGCCCGACCACTGCGTCAAGGTAGCGGCTTCGGTCGGGTCACAAAGTTCAAATCATCCAAATGGTTGTGGACGAAATAGAAGAAGCCTTCGCTTAGCAGGCTTCAGTGTCTAGTAGCAGGGGATCACCAATACGGGTACAGAAGTGTTAAGGATACTGTAAGCCACCAGAAGGTCACCTCTCAGACGCCTATACTCTAATGGGTAAAGCTTAAGTGATTGGAGGCGTTCTTCACAAGGTTTGAATTTGAGTCCCCGAACTGATTTCGTGGCTCGCCGTTGGATACGCTCCAGGGTGTCCTTACCCTTTTGGAGTGAGGGAGGAAATACTATGTTCCCGTACTCTAAATAGGGACGAATAAAACTGTTGAAGATTATGTGGAAAGTTCTTCCATCAAACTGGCCGAAAATGCGCTTCTATGTTACCAGCGCAAGGTTTGCTCGAAAGGCATTTTTGTCACAGTTAGCGTAAGACTTTAGATCGTAGAGCACCAGGACTCCCAAACCTTTTCCGACTCGAGATACTACTAAGGAGGAGTTTCTTAAGTTGTAACTGTAGTATGCGACATGTCGCAGATGGACTACTTTACACTATGAAGTGTTAAAGGTAAGTCCAGCTGCGTTCAATATGTTCACTGTACTCCGTGCTGTGGACATCTTCATACTTCAGTCAAAAACTAGGTGGAAGATAAATGGCAAGCGTAAGCATCCTTTTCTGACACCAGTGGTCACTCGGAAAGCATCTGTGAGCTGCCCTCTACGTACAGCTCTGCAGTTCGGTCCATCGTAGGGAGTCTTGTATCCCAACGAAGATGTTCTTATGTACTTCGTGGTGTTGACGAGGATTACACAAGGTTTACACTGTCGAATTCTTTCCATTAATGAAGGAAGTACATGTATAGCAATGAGATCCATTCAATTGACTGCTGCATAATAATCGTCATTGTCGCATTTTGGCCAGTATACAATTGGTCCTTACGAAAACCAGCTTGTTGATCTCGAAGTTGAGTATCTACTGAGTCTTTCACTCGGTCCAGTAACACTGTTCGAAAATGTGTCTAGTACTGACAATAGTTTTTATACCTACAAAGACCTCATTTTTCTGGTATTCTTATGAGGTATCCGTTTTTGTAGTCTGTTGGGACTTGTTTTTCCTCTCAAATCTTTCTAATGAGAACATTGAAGTCTTTGGAGTTACTTTTATGTCTGAATTCATTACTTCGGTTGGTATACTGTCTGGTCCTAGAACTCTTTAGTATCTCAAGCCTTTTTGCAAGTTGAGGATGCTAACTTCACGCCTAATCGTCCCCCTTTACCCGAACTTGGACCCTGAAGTAGCTTCAGATGGAGTTATTGACTTTGATGAGTAAGCATAATCTTTATTCAATCAGAACGCAACCCTATGAAATTCCATTCAGGATATTTTCACTGAAGCTACAAACACAAATACAGAATTAGTTGCAAATGAAACAAAAATTATTCACAAGGACAAATTCCACAATATCTTAGATCAGTTGTATGACCCCTAATTGTCATCTGAAAATCGTTTGACCAGTAAACAAGATATTAATCATGTAATCATTGACAATGATCTATGGTTGATTTTCGGTATTAACTAAACCATTGTTTATATGATAAAATTCTTAAATCAATCATTGTTTTTTTAGATTTTGATAACTCTGCTGTCTAATATGACCGCAACAAAAACAAAGGATTGTAATGTTCCCAGAACACAATAAAACATGCTTTTTTACTGGCTTAGCACTAACCAAAAATCAATATAATTTTTTATTGTTGATCCGTTTAGATCGTCGCACATATTTCTGGAAGAAACATTTCACAGATATGACAACACAAACAGATTAACACCGATTAAATTAAGGTTTTAAGCGATTTTATGCTAAACAGCTATACATCTGAACAGTGACAATTTATTTAAGATATGGATAATTCTCATAACTACTGTTTATGTGGGACTACAGATTGTTGATTTTACAATGTAAATAATTAAATATACATATATATAAAACAGCAAAAGCGTAGTCTGTGAAAATGAAGTTTATCACCAAACACGAATTTGTTCGGGAGTCAAGCGCTTAAATACACTTAAAGGTTTTATTAGAAAATCACAGAACTAACTAAACATTTTCTAGTTTTACAAGCGTTACATCCTTATCTCCCAAACTGGCGGATCAAATGTAGCTTTTTCTAAATAACTTTTATTTATCATGAAATATACTTAACTTATTTATCAAGATAATAATATGGGCAGTTATACTTTATAGTTAGGTAATCTCAGGGGCTGTCAGAGATATATTAGTTGTTGTGGCTTCTTCGTTGTCTATACTGTGAAAGGAATGTTCTTGATCACCTGAGAGCGTGTCCACGACGTCCAAAAGACAACTGGTTAAGGCCAGTTACACACGACCTTTTTCCGAGTTTTGAATGAACTAACCCCTTACTTTTAACGCTTTACCGCTGGAAACGGACAAAAGTGAGATTTACTGCCTTCAATACGGACCTATTTTGACCCATTTTCTCCGTTGTAAGAAGACACATCTAAGGAATAAACCTTATTCCCTTCATACCATTATACAAATAACGCTATGACTAAGCCGTCGAATCTTAAGCTGGTGTTTTTAGTTTTAGCTCTCTCCAATAAATCTGCCTGACATGATATGACCTAACAAATGAGGTATTCCAGCCATTAAAGTTTGGTTAGGTCACTATAATAGGTAGCCTAGACCACTATATTAAAGTACCAGCTTCGGTATCTTCTTCCGAATTATCGATGATGGTCAGAAATAATGAATAATTTCTGTCTGTCTATGGATGGAATATCTTTTTCATGTTCCCTGTGTTTTCAATAATGATATAATGGGTCGAATATTGTGATATTTTGAACTATTTTACGTAAAGTTGTCTTTTATATTGCAGTTGTAAAATTATTAGTCACTTGAATTCTTGTACTTTTAATATTCTCATATCCTTAGTTTTTCTTTAAGTACATAAACCTCTGTTATTTTCTAATTCCCTTAAGTTACTGTTAATTCACTACTCACTTATTATTCAGCTCTCCACCGCTTATCGTGTAGTCATGTTTACGTTTGACTACCCTGTTTATTTGCTCTGTTGTCAGTCAGTTAACCTAGATTATCACACAACTTTAAGTTCTGAACGAAACAGTACGATAGAAGTCTCTACCTGCTGTGTTCTTGTTCTATTCTTTATATTGGATAAAAAAATGTGAGGCTGCATCGTGAAACAGTAGCTCTTAAGTATTGATTCTGGATGTTATTTCATTGTCACTGAGTTATTGGTAGAAAAAAGATAATTTTGTCTTTGACAAACAAGTCCTCAGTCTTATACAGGTAATTTAGGTTCGCTAATCAATAATCCAACTAGACAATGTAATTCCTCTCATAATTATTGCCCGATCACGCAGGCACCAATACAATACAAGTATCTGTTACTTTTGTACTTACATCAATCATTTATTTATCTTTACTGACGTGAAGGCAAAGTGTAATAATCCATAGGATGGTTTGATTAAGATAATCAAATCTATCTATACTTGATCTGACCGCTAATTAACTTACTATGAGCATTTGTAGCTCCCATGGAAAGAATCAATGAAGTAGTGTCGATTGTATGTCTCATGAATATAAAATGAATGTGATGGTATCTAGAAGGTAAGACAATGATTGTTTGATTTGGATAAGTTTACTGAGTTACTTTTTTTTTCTTTATTATCCTGCTGTTTTTTACCTCTAGATATTGGAAGTTTTCTGTTGCTCCATTTTCACTGTGATTTCTAATCAAAATCTATTTATCTGACGAATATCTTTAAACAATATTTTAGCTAGAAAAGGACCGGTTTCATAGAAAGATCTCTGTTGTTATCACTGATAAAGAACAAGTATCAAAAAATCTTGAAATTTCACGAGAATATATAAAACTCTTGAAAGAACGCATTTCTATGTTGGAACAGTTTTATTCAAACATAATTCCGAACCCACGTAACTCAGAGCATTTTTCACAAGAACAATCTGACAATTTTCCAACAGAGCGAACGCATTGCAAACGGTATCTAAAAAATATTGATTCAATTAGATCAACACCAGATTTATCAGCTACTTTTCCTACCTTAAGCAAACTTCTTTCTCTCAGTAGTGAATATCGAGATCCTCATGAATGTGTGACACCAAAGGTTCTTCAGCGTCTAACTAATCAATCATGTCAAACGAACAAACGTGTTCACAACTACAACAGGTAAGCTTAGCCATCTTGATCAAATGTTCACCACGTTCCTCAGCATACACCACCTATGAATTATTCTTTAATTTGCTTTTGATCAATAGACACAGTAATTGAATTGACAATTGATTACATAGTATACTGTTCTGCTACAAGTTTTTGCTAAATTTTAGTTCAGTATCTACTTGCCAGATATATACATTAATCGCTATATCGTCCAAAACTAATTTTTGGTATCCAAACCTTAACATTTTGCACCATAAATTCACAAAATAAGATAGACAGTATCTACCATTTTGACTAGCAAACACATGTTATGATGTAGAAGATAATCTTTTTTCTAAGTAAAAACAAATTTCCTTAAATTTAACTGAAACTTGCAGAACTTATGCTTACACGTGAAAATAAGGAATGGTAGATTTAGATCCCGGTTATTGAAAGCCCGTTATTTCACTGTTTCGTAGTGTTTTGGGTGAAGTTTTATTTTCAGAGCTGGGTCATTTAGCCATAAAGTTTTGCTTAACTTTCTGGACATCATCTATCTGAACTTCGTATGAATTTCTGTCAGAATTTGACAATATTTATGGTAATTTGATTTTTCACAAAAAAAAACACATATTGTCACGTAAAGGGTACTGAAAATAGGCTAGTTTAAACAATATAGTATTGGAAAATAAAGTTATTCATAAAGTAATATTTTCAATTAATTCTTAAGTCTCACAATCATTCTATACCACATTAGAAGAAAATTTGGTTTTGAAATATATTTTTCACCAGTAATTTAAAAAATTTGTCAAATGAAGCGTTAAAGAACTACATAGGTCATAGATAGTTTCACTCAACCGCTCCAGAGAAGGCGTCCTAATCGGAACTTGGCGTTAAGCATTCTTATGGAAACTCTAGTGATCACCATTTTGAACTGAAATATAACATAGACGAATTTTCGACCATTAACTAACCGTTATGTTTTTGCTAAGGTTAGGGATTGATATAAAAAAATACTGGTAGGATTCGGACAAAGGTAATCTGATTGACTGAATAAAACTGATTACTGGAAACAAAGAGGGTATGCATGATTGTACATGTAGATTGAAGAGAAAAAATGAAAAAGATTAGTCGAACTCCCGAATCTTGTGCTCAGCAATGATGTGGAGCGGTGACCTAGTGTTTAAGGTGTCAATATTCAGTCACTAAGCCACAAGATCATGTTGTGCTTCACCCACTTCAATCTGGACACCCAGATAGTATCCCTAGTCCTTAAACATTAGACATGGCTCAAAGCCAAGTAAAGGAAACTGAACTTGATTTGTATGTTTGACCACAATGTGATACGATAGCTTCATCCAGATCTGTCCTGAGCTATTCTTCCCAGTTCTAAAATATTGACTTACTTAAATTTATACATAAAAACGCCGGCTCACAAATATAAGTCAACCTAAAGAGAGAACATTTCACGTGAAAAAATTTTCAGGTTGTAAAATTTAACCTCTGTTAACTTTATGTATATAATTTAGTCAATTTTACACATTTGTAACGTCCATTCAGGCTCCTATCACCCTGTAGATCTTTTAACTTCAACTGAAGATCACAATTAACTCCATTAATATCAGAAGCAAATGAAAAATCCAGTAAATTATACTGTGATTCACGTGTTTTGAAATACTTAAAACATCGTGGAAATTTATAAATGAGCGCTGAAATCTGGTGATTGTATTCCTGATCAGTTTCCAATGAAATCATTTGTGTGTTTAATGTTAGGAACCGACTATAGTTAAATTCCTCAAGTTGCTTAGTTAGTAAATCAAGTTTAATTTTAAACACCATTTCCTGAAACTCTAGTATAAATACCATGTTTCTTTAATACGATTTCACTTCTGACCATTTCTATGCATAATTCCAAATGACTTCAAAAAAGATTTGCGGTCTTCATGCTTTAGCTTTCCCACCTCTGACGCATAACAATCAATCGTGCAGAATACTATTGACGATAAATTAAAAATTAATTGAAAAGTCATACAACCTTCATATGAACATTCAAAATAAAAACATAGGCAATAAAATTAGTAATTGATGTGCATCCATTCCAACACTTTCAGTCAGTGGGCTAATCAACATACACTAAATGAGAAGGCTGTGTTTTACCAATCAAAAATCTCCTAATGACAAGCGCATGTTGTTGGCCAAGAATCGGATTCGCTGAGTAGATATGTTTATATAAATGAGTCCTTATGTATTTCATTTGGTTTACTCCAATAAACTCCCTCATTTACTTTTAGTTTTCTCACTCAGCAGCTTGTTGAGGCTTGTATAAAGGTATTTCGTGTATCAGTATCACGCTTGGACGCCACATGACATAACAATAACGTTTTTCACGTCTATAATTGATGGGCACAAACTTTTCATATAAATAATGCAATGGAAGTCTAAAAAGCACACAAATCATTTTCTAATACTTTAGTTAAATATACCAGGTTTTCCTGACATGATTTTTAGTTATCTCCCTTCTAGCTGCTTTGACGCATAATTCTAATCGCTTTTATATTTTGCCCACCTCTGATTTAAAGTGGTTCAGCTAGAAGAAATGAATGTCCTATTCTAATATGAAGGCGTTCAGACTTTCATCTTTTATTTTAAATTTTCAAATGATTTTATTTCACACGAAACAGCAATCTTTTTTCAAATTATTCGAGTAAAATCTTCATATTTATTACTAACAGTTGCGGCACGAACCAACTACAAAATACAACCAGTCTTGACAATTTATATGAAGGTGATCGTATTTCGGTGCATTCAACGGCTTCAAGTTCAAACGACGTAAATGTTCTCATTGTTTCCTTTATTACATTAAATTCCATTTTATTTTTCTTGGAATATATATATAATAGCTTCAATAATTTAAAGATAAATCATTAATAGTGCATTGTGAGTACAAATTTTTGTACTCGACTTTAAGCCGTAACTTCTTTATGTATGAATAGTAGTGATTTCAGGTTTCTCAAATTTAATTATTGATAACTGAGTGTTTTAATTACTTGCCATCCGCTCTTTCAAATCAACTACCATACTCGCATTGCATTTTATAATGGATGGTTGTCTTTTCTTCTAGTGGTAATATTTAACCATGTATAGTCTGGAAGAGTTATTGAGTTTCATGTTGCTCTGTATAGTTTTGTATGATTAGTTATTCTGGAGTTGACAAAAGGCATGAATCGTGTTGTAAAATAACATGTTTGTTACTCAAAACACACATAATCTAAGAGATCGTTTCTGTCAGCATTTATAAATCTAATTTTACTACAAAAGATGAATTAAAGTGAACTACATTCGTCTACTGATAATCTTGTATGATAACCTAAAAACTGTCTGGTGTTCCGTACAAAATCGATTTAAATGAATTTATCAGAATAATAGCATGTAGTCTTTTCATATATCTTCATTTTGCCTACGATTATAATAGTGGTTTGCAGTTTAACAATCTGTTAGCATTGTAACTCACTAGTACAGTGTTTGCACATATTCCAATTGATTTGAGTTTCAAATGGATTAGTGTATTCCATAGTTAATGTCACCGACAAATGTAAATTATACCAGTAGTAACTGAGAATAGGAAATTTTCTGTCAACATGCTGAAGAATCGTCAGATAATTAATTGATTGACGTCAGTTAACGAACTGGTCATCCCAATGATCACTGACAACGTTAATAATAAATTGTCGGAAAGTGGATTTACCGACAAACATTTGCAACTCTGATATACTCATAGAACAGGAATATTTCATGAAGTTAAATCTGTCATAAGAAAATGTGCTTATTATTGAGATTGGAGAGTATTTTAAGAAGTGTTCTATGTTAACAAAATTGGTCCGTAACTAAAAACTCAACATCCTCAGACCATAATTGAATTTGTTCTAACTTTCGTTTTCTGACAGTTTTATGATGCTGAGTTGGCTTTGGCAAATTACTATAATTGAAATACAACATAATCTATTTGAACTAGTAGTCGGACGCTCATTACAATACTGTCTAATATCTTAGCAACACATACCCCAACTATACATTAAGATTCTGCACGATGTGTTCCTAAAAAAGATTTCCATATTCGTACTAATTTTGGAAAGATATATACACGCTGTCACTCATATTTTGCCCTTGCCAAACACTTATATGTAATCTTGAGCATACTTTATTAATGTTTGTCTATGCTAGTTCCTATGTATTTATATGGCTCAGTGTGTCCTTCATTTCTACATATGTTAAGTCAACTTTTAGTTAAATTTTGTAGACTGAGATTTTGTCCATTATACGCATCTCCACTTGTCTGAGTAAGGGAACTTTTCTAACTTAACTCATCGATGGCTTTTATCGCCAATGGGGTTGTTTGCTTAGGTGTAATCCATGGAGTTAAACAGAAGATTTATATTTTGGGGTTCATTCATCATGAATTCAGATTGCAAGAACTAAGAATTCAACAATTTATGGCAATTTTCAATAATATATGTTCCTTTTGTTTTCATTCAGATTATACCATAAAAAATACATTTGTGTTTTAATGAAACATTTTAATTCAGTTCTTCATGAATAGCAACGTTAAATTCTCCACGTAGTTTTTGTTTTTTTTAAAGAATCGAAAATAATTTTTCAAAGGATTCTCAACGAAAGAACCATTAATAAAATGTCATAGCATTAACATCGATTATTAAGTCTAATTCTGTCATTTAAAGTTACTGTGCATAATACCCCGTCTCAAATGAGATTCTAAAACACCTTCACCAAAGGTGCAAGAAAAAGCCCCGTTTAGAGGAGTGATTAGCAAACGAATTTTCGACAAGCGCTATACTACCAACTACACACAGACACTAACTTATTTATAATTCAAGCCAAATATAACGAGTACAATCATGAGATGTAACACTGATAATTGTAAAAAGCCTTACCATTGAAATCTAAAACTGCCATTTTTATTTATCTTGGATATAAAATACGGAAAAATTATTACTGTCTATACATAATTCCTAACTAAACTTACAATTACACAGCTCACTACATCTATATTTTACACAAATGCGTTTTTCTATTTTGTAGATCCGAAAAATAGTTAATCACCAAGAAATCATAGAGCTTGATGATAAATGTCCCTTATCTTCTAGTGTAACTTCCAGTATTTCCCCACTTCAAGTGATTGACGAAATGGAATTTCAAGACAACTTAGCTCTTCTGGATCAGCGGATTAACAATGTTCGGGAGTCACTCAGATTGAACCCTGTAATTTAAAAACATAAATAACTGACCGTCAGAATAAACTGATAAAACCGTAGGTATACGACTTCATAGATATCTTTTTTATTTGACTAAAATAAAATTTCATGGATTTGCCAATACTGTCTACGTATTTGTATATTCACTCCATACTGCCACGTTATCCTACTAAGTAACTTGAAAGACTGAGTTGAGAAAAACCACATCTAATTATTCTTTTTGTTACTATTTTGTTGGCATAGAATATCATCTTTCTCTGTAAGAGTTAGCGATATCTCGGACCAGGAATTCAGAACAGCAATCTTCTGTGTGAATGCTACATAGTAGCGTGAATATAGGATGGGTGATATGGTTCGAAGTCGACCACAATGGCGTCGGAGTATACACTATCTGTCTGAGGTTAAAACCGCTTCATAACTTTCATTCTACGAACTAATTCTTTCTTCCTGTACTATGTCCTTAGATGCAGTCTTTCTTTTATATATTACCACCACTGAATTAACTACTTCTATGAATCCGGCGTTCGTCTTGTGTTAATGAGGTATGGCAACTCGAAACGATGCAAACATGTGCCTGATCCTATGTTGTTGCTGACTGACTGAATATAGGAGCACTCAAATCAAGGTTGAACTAGTATTATCCATCATACTATCCTGTGCCTGACAATCAATGAAGACAGTTCCTCACGATATCAAAAGAAATCTCGACATATTAGCTTATGTAATAGCAACCAGTGTTAGGTCCTACCGAAACCCTGAATGGTAACTCTTCATTATGAAGTTGATTTCAGAGGGGAATGTTGCATAGATCGACAATATGTTGTCACAAAGATAACTTCCCCATCGTGGCTTCACGCTTTAGGTTTACAAACTAGGCTTCTGGGTTGTGGTAACATAGCCACCTGTCTGTGTGACCATTTCGACACATTTGCCGTAAACAACGAAGCATCTGGACAGGTGCAGGAGAAAACACAGCCACGGTTACGAGCTGTGTGCTACTCAAGAAAACTACACAGCCTCCCGATTTTGGGGTCGTTGTCCCATTTCCCCAAAGTTTTCTATTACAGCTAAGCTAGATCCTTGTTCAAACACAATACTGATCATTCTATCTTTTCGAAAGACTAGACTGATGTTTGTATGGTGGTGGTAAATAAACTGACAAGTGTCTTTTCTAATCAAACTAAGTTTCAGTTGAATATCTGTCTACCTATGCGCACATACTTGTCAAACAGGACCTAGCATACATCAACTCCGCTAATCGTCAAAATAGATATGGATGTGAAGTTGACACTTACTTAGCGCTCAAAAGGAAATTTTGTATACACTGAAGTGTTAGTCATGATACTACGCTCATGCATAAAATGAAGAGACTTATAGATACATCATAAGACGAAGTCGACCTGGACAAACACCTTTAACAACATTCCCCTAGTAGCGCAGGAATTTCGACTAAGATCGACAAGGTCAGACGTTAATGCCATAAGATGCCGGCTAAGCGGTCTGTTGTTCGCACAAGAGATGGAAAATCCAGGGTCCGAGCCCCATGTGTGTCCGTACTACCGGGGAGTCGCGAATTGGGACGAAACGGTTGTCTACTGCTTCCAAGTTTTTAGTGATGGTCTACCTTAGATCGGTTCATGATTCCAATGTTAATAAAACTTCATTAATCTAAAACATTTAACTTAGACTTGACTACTAAAGTTCTGGTGGGATATATCTGCTATCAAAAATGCTTTATTCCTTAGTAGCATATTTTCAGTCATTTTAATTTACATGTGTAACCTCAGAATTGTTTGTCGCGTAATTATGACTGAACTGTAGCAAGAAAAATAACAGCGAATAATGCCCTATTACGAAGTGATTTCTGTCTATCGCTCGCCAAATCCTTCAGACGCTGAGTCTCCAAAGGACCGGTAGCTCATACACTGTATGACTAAATTTAGGTCTGCGGCTGTTAGCAGTTGCTTGCATAATTGACTGGTCTAAACATTCATCAGATGAAATGTTTAAATTCACCATGGATTGTATGATTATCCTGAAAGTTTTACCATCCCTGATGGGTTGGTGTTTAACGAAATCTTAGCGCGAATCCAGTAAGCTTAGTTCGCTGCCAACTTGCGTCACCTTTAGCATAGACGAGAGGATGTTTATTCAGCAGCAGTTCGATTCCTTACCTCATGACTGTGAACCATGATCATTAAGAATAGCAGATATACGTAGGTCACTAGCATTCGAAGCACTACTCATGTTTCTCTTGGGGGACCAAGGAGTAAACACTGTCGGGGTTAAGGTACTGGGTGAAGATAACTAGTTGATGGGTGAGGCGGCGGACCGTCACCAACTACCATGGTCGGACCATGTATTGCCTATGCCAAACCAACGCCTGCTTTCCCGAGTAACACTGTCGAGTAGAATAGGTTAGGAGCGACCAAAACAAGATGTGTTGTCAACTCGTCGAATCATTGACAACTGGAGTGAGCCGTGTAGGCAAGTGGAGATTACGCGGCAAGGATTACACTGACCAACCTCGTCAACCCTTAGAACCCAAGTCATTAAATCTTGACCTTTTCTGTATAACTTGACTTGCTAATTTCATCTCGCTGTCTTAACGTGGCGTGGCAACTCGAACCACTGCATATGTGCTAGGTTAATCGGTGCATTTGACTGACTGTGCCATGTATTTTTTTCAGAACTGGCGAAGTCTCACGCGAAAAGTATTTTCTTGATAAAGGCTCTTGACGTTTGATCGAATTTTAAATCGTCCTCAATGATAACGTTTATTGACATCAACAAACAGCAGGTTAGCAATGACGAAGTTTAGGCAAATTCTTGAAGTACATAATGATAGTAGTTATCATCATCGTGCACCATAAAGCTTGTTCCTCTTATTTTCCACCCCTTGAGTCCTTATATCAATATATTATAATTGCTTGAGGACATATTCTGCAGTTGTTATAGCCCATTCAATAATATGCCTCTTGCAATAATGCAAATCCTCTATTCCTTATTAAAATTTATTGGGACCCTAATGTGTCTCTTGTTATATGTAGTAGAAGTTCCAGAGGCATAAACATTTATCCAACTGTTCAACAAAGATCAGCATTCGACCATCGCGAGTATAGTTATTTCCACGTATCTGTATCTAGTTGAATTTACATTAGACACCAGGTGGCTCTTACGACCAAATTCAAACTAGACTTATCTTTTGACTGTAAGTGTTCAGTCTGTGGGAATAGTTGGGAAGTCATGAGCCTGGAACTAAATGGTTTAGATTCAAGCGTCTAAACGATTGGCTTACAGCTACTCAGTACGTGTGTGGGCAATTCGTGAAATTCCCAGCACAGAAGTAAATCTTTCCTTTAGAATCCTAATAGATACTTGACAGAAGATTGACTTTTAGCGAACATCCATTCATTGGTGGAAATGAGGCCCATTTCCGTGAACGGATTCCAACTAAATGACGTAAAACTGAGATTCAAAAACCAACGTAGCAAGAACAATACTTAACTACAATCAGGAGAAACTACTCACTATCCAGATGCACACTTTGATTAATAATCAGTACATCATCCCCCCCCCAGGAATATTGACAATTGTTTATTGAGGAATAAGCCGACAGACTTCCTCAGTAACCTTTGGTGTCGAATCTTCTTCAGAGCCAATTGTAAGACGTGGATACTAGGTGCTCAGGTGATTACTCAATGAGAAGACCTACACGACACAGGTTCCGCGTTCGCTTTTCATTTTCAAACTCGCTTTCTGTCTTATAAGTCGTCCCGACCTAGCTGGAAGAGGCATACGACCAAAATTACTTCCAAGTACACAATTTATTGAAGTTATTTCACTACTTAATCCGGCGTAAGAGAGTAAAGAGGTAAAACTTCTCAAGCCACATTATATATGGGGGGCAATAGGCATCCGCCTATTTTCAAAGGTGTGTAACTCTAAACGGGGGCTGGCGGCGTGGTTTCTAGTTTAAATCTCAATAGGCCTGTATATATGCTTGTATCCAGGTCGGTAAATGCTCGACTAAACGCTTATGAGTATCAGAACTGTAGTTGCAACAGCACGTTAGCAAGTCGTAGTCACACGTACATGGTTCATTATCTTAATAATCCGCCATACCCCCGCTCGACAAGATTAAGAGGACTGACAATGTCATGACTTTCACACAACCATAAGTACTGACCCCGATTTAGGCCAGTTTTCCAGAACGTCTAGGCAAGTTCGGGATGAACATGCAATGTCACTCCATGTTACTATTGACCAGACTTTGACATAATGTAAGGTAACACAGATTAGATAACTTTGCTAGGTACTGATTTTCACGAAGAGCATGAAGAACTTATTTCTACTTTCTGCCGATAGGCTATCAGCAAGCCTTTGACACATTTAAACAGAGGTTCGGGAATCCTTCGGCTTTCTAGCTTTATTGGGAGTAACATAAGCAAGTTTGCAGTTTCCGGAGTGGTTCGAACCACACTGACAGAAATAAACTTACATCGCATGCAATACATTCTGAATCTTTACACCTTATCCCTCATAGGCTTGAAAAAAAACTAAGTTTTGGTGAAAATTGATGGTTGAACTATTTACAATATCGATTATATATATATATATATATATATATATATATATGACCGGTTTTTGAAAATACCAGCCAAGAGGTCAGTTATTTGAATTAAAAGTAGAACTAGGCTGGTTCATCCCAGGTTTTATGCTTTTCTGAACTAAGGTTGACTATTCTAACGTGAACTGCTTGGTACTTTTCATTCTTCGGAGGAATGAGCATCTTACGATATTCCACAACGTCTCCCTCGATAGGCACGTATTCACCGTCGATACTTGGAAGCTTGTTATAATGTACGGCAAACTTACTCAAAAACATGCACGAAAAGACAATCATCACTGTTATCAGGTTTAATAAAACCATGTCCTTTATCACGACAAAAGCTAATTATTTTCCCAATACCATACTCTCCTTTAGAGGCACCTTCTGATTGAGACTTGGTTCTGTTTCTTTTATGAAATATTGGGCTTGGGATAAGCACATGTGGAGGTTCCATGGCATACAACTGTAGCGGTTCGTGTCAAGTCAGAAAGTATTTTGTGTGCTAGTTGAGCATGCAAAATAGCGTGAAGCCTGGAAAAGATAATAGAAAACATAAGTCTACGACCCAGAAGCCCACACGATACACTTACATTCACTACGGAAAGCAATAGGCAACAATCACTAACACAAGCGTCATATTAAGACAATTTTGAATATATCCGAACTATGCAGATAAATTCATAGATAGCTTAACCTGTCTGCCAAAACGACTCAAATATTTGCGCGTATCGTTGAAATGCTCAATTATGTAGCGTAAAACTATCACACAATAATTCAAATGCCAAGTTTCGCTCAGCTGAAATATCGAACTGTTTGTTCCTTTAGATCTCCATCTGTGTAGTAGTTAGGCTTTCCTGGTTATTTGAAGGCACGACCTATGATTTGAAACAGAAAAGGGGATAAAAGCTTGGCTCTGATTATCACTCACAAATACACTGTCACTTACGTATGCCTCTTGTTCTAAATTACCTGTTGTTATGATAAAAGAACTCTAATGTATTTTCTATCTACGTGTACAGATCACACTGATATTCTCATTATATGCGTTATCTCGATATACATGTCGAACAATTGTGATTGGAGCTATTAACCACTTATATTTGCGGAGTACTACACAAAAAGAAACCCGAAGGCGCCAATTTCTGACAATTTATGTAAAGTCCTATATATTTTTCTTATGTGTATAGATTACATTTAATGTATTATTAAATAAAGTTTTGGACGTAATAACTTTACTATTGTTTTTGAAATTGATATATTCTTGGTCCACCACAATTATCTGGCGAGTCTAACGTCCGTTGGTTATTTTGCCAGACTCGTCGGCTTTTTCATGTGACGTATTCCCCTAATAATCTTAGTGACGTCGACGTTCCTCTCTTAAATGCTCCCACTGTATTACCTCAATTATCCGGAGCCATGGTGACGACAATTGATGCCATATCTGAATTCAGACTTCCGGCGTATGGGGCAAATAACCTAAGTATCTAGTCTGCCTGAGTAGAAGCCCTATTTATACCTCAGGGAATTCGTTCACAAGCAACAAACTACGCATATGTAGCGGTGCTATACCCATCGAAATGGTTACAGAAGTTGGGTACTTATTCGACCAAGTGCCAGAACACGAGCTTTATGATAGACTGAAAGCAGCAGCGATACGACGCACATCAACCTCCGATGTAAAGAGACTATAGCAGCTGCAGACAACTAATGATCTTGGGGACAGGAGACCGTAATACCTATTACGACATATGAAGAAAATAGACGGTCCAAATGAAATAGGTTGTCCCTCTAAATAGCCAGGAAATCCTACCTACTACACAGATGGAAACCAAAAGAAACACACAATCCGAAATTTCAGTTAAACGGAATTTGGCGTTGTCAGTGTGGATAGTAGAACATTATAGAGGTGAAACTTGGAGGACTACCATAATAACCATCATAAAAGTACAGGTATCTAAAAACAACTGTCTTCACAAGAGACTCCAGATATACTGGCCAGATAGCATCAGCAACAACCTACTGTGGTAGAGAACAAACCAGCCTTCAGATGGAAAGTGGGTAAGGAAAACGTACTGGGGGTGGATAGGTAACACTCTTCGGAGATCATCGAGCCGCATCACAAAGCAAACCCTAACATGGAATCCTTAAGGCAAAAAAGAGAGGCAGACCAAGTAACACATAGCTCAGAGAATTGGGAGCAGGTATCAAAAGAATGAATAGCACTTGAGAACAATTGGAAAGGAGAGCCTGGAACACAATAGTTAAAATAATCCTGGTCAGTGGCATACGCTACATGAAGAGTAACAGACGTAAGTAAGTAATTTCTTTGTTTGAAGTTTGCAACATGCCAAACCTTCAGTAACATCTAATCAGAACAAAAAAAACCGATTGTAATATGTATTTCATTATATAACGACTGGCAGGAAGGTAAATCAAACTCCATTCAGAATTATTTTCACAAAAATATCAAGGTGGCAGTATCTGAAAACTTGAACAGCTTATATTTTAAATAGATTAGTAAATTATTATAGGTGTTTATGCGGGATAATATATGAATAGTGATGGATCCAACTAGTAGTTTAAGATTGTCAGGAGAAATATTTTCATACATATTTGTCAAAGTAAGATATAACACATAAAGTTTTAAGGAGACAAAGCAGTTCATATCTACTGTGGGTTTGCAAATATGCATTTTTCATTTCAGGTTCTCATGCGGGTCACGACTTATGCTCTATAACAAAAAGAATAATATCCACAACGGATGAGTCAAACATGGTGAGTAGTCATTAAAATATGAGGATATGAATTGCTGACCCAGAAGTACCACCATATGTGGCATGGGTGTATTCATCAAAAAATTTGAGGTATGTAATTAGTTTAAGATCGTATTATCGCGAACAGCATTCACTACTAGAAGCGGCCTAAATGAATCCACGTGCAAACGTTTTGATATTTAATTAGCTATCCTCTTTTCCAGAGATTCGGAGGATTTAGACTAAGCTCATAAAATTGGCCTAAAAACATAAGGACATTAAGCATTCGGAATCTAAATATTCACGAAAAGGTTTATGAGTGAAAAGAGTCACCTCTTCATAAGCCATAAGATTGGCCTTTGTTTTCCGTTATTATCTCTCGATTAGTGTCTACAGTTTTTAAAGCATTACCGATAATACCATCTACAACAATTCATAGGTATTTAAGTCGATTTAAATTTAGTTCTTTGTGAGGGTGATTTTGATTTTCTCTGTCGTTTTAGGAAACATATTTGACATAAAAAACACCATAAGATATCTCCTAAAGATAAATGATGGTTAGGTACGGTCTAATTATTCTGTCCACGAAAAAACTGTGGGATTTCCTCGTTTAACGATTTGGATGTTTTCTAAATCTGACTCCATATTCCTGAATTGATGAACAGAAGGAAAGGTTATGCAAATGAGTTTTAGGTATTTTCAGATAGTCGTAGTAATCCTCTGTAGCAAAGGAGTCTGTTTATGCTTTTTCACTTGGCCATTAATTCAGAACATCACTGACTCTTAAAAGCATTAGATAATATGGAGGTATTTCGTGATGACCGGTGTTTAGCCGAGAATTATTGCAGATTCAATGGACAAATTATTTTGCTGACGATTCACTAATCGCTTATTCAATCTAGGAGTGCTCAGATACTGTCACGACTGAATTTGTTAAATCAGTGGAGAAATTAGGTTTAACCACTCCATGTTCTACGTTACTGCTCAGAAACGAGTTGTTTAAGAGTTTATGGGTACACCACCTCAGCATGTGTTTATTTTTCCTCTCCACACAAAATGTACCGGCGTCTTTATCCATTGCATTAATTATTTGAGGGAAGTTAAAAATTGGCTGAATTAAAAAACTGTTCTGTAACACTCAAATGAACTGTAACTGACCTTTGAAGAACTGACAACATATAGACTGAAGATGTGATACTAGCTCAGTAATCTTCACTGACAATGTTCAAAACTGACCTATTCCAAACAATATACCCATTTATGATTTGTCAGTCTTTTTATAATATCAGTGGATAAATACGATCTAAGATGTTGGAAAATGCACAAAATAGGACTACTTTAATGATGCAAATGACTTCGAATCACATATTCTTGCACTAGGTTTACAAATGACTTATTCCTAACAATTTACCTATTTTTACGCAGATATATTTGATGGCTAGCAGTGAAATTTTTGAACTCGTCAAGTGGATGTACCTGAATCCTGGTTTTGATGTTCACTCCGTAACTTAAACCCAGTACCGATCGCCCCTGCACCATCGCGTTGCCCACATGGCTACTGAGTCTAGATGGCCACTGGCTTGTGAAAGGAGGTGGATTTTAATTTTTATATATTGGCTGTTTGAATTTTCCCATTGATGTTTAGGACTTCGATTGATCAGTCTCTCTTGGTATCAGCCAGTCGCAATGCAGAACGTGGTATGTATTTACATCGGTTCAAGTTGACACACCCCATTGACACAGTGACGCTGTCAGGCCGAATCCCAGAACGGTACAGGTAGTGACAGTCTCAATGGTAATAGGGATGCTTGCAGATTTTTTGAGATATGTGTTCATGACTTTGTAGCAATATTTGTGCGATCCTCATAGGATGTTCGTATAACAAAAGAGACTGACCAATTGGAGTCCTAAACATTGATGGGAAGTTTCAAGCAACCAATACATTTAGACTATGTATTTGTTCATCGTAAAACGGTTTATCAAGTCAAGTATGCTAGCGATATTAGGCAGAGAATTCTGACACGACCGAGAGTTATGTTTTATGCAGCAACTAGTACAGGATTAGCTTTCGATGAGACTAAATTATGGACGGACCAATGAAATCAAAGATGGTAAATATTGGAGTCCGTTTACAATTGATTGATCAATGGGTGGCGATCAATGTCATGCGTGTCTAGTCCGTATTAGTGCAGATCGAATGCTATCGATCATGTTGCAATGTGGATTCCGTTTAGAAATCCATTAATCCAAATAGCTAAATAGCCTATGCGAGTTAGTGGTGAACATCAAAAATCTAATTCCTAACCCCAACCTCCAATCCTATATCCTAATCCTAAATCCGCAAACTAATCTATATCCCTCTTTGATTTCAGTAGATAGATGAACTTCATGAAATGGTATAATTTTCGAATAGACCTTAGTTCAGGATTGTCAGAACAAGCGTCTATTACCCGCGTAAATTTAAAGGATTGACGCCATGTCCTTAAAACATTTGAGGTCTTTTAAATCAAGTTTCTGAAATTTCGCGGAAGTATATATGTATCCTTTGGGCATTAATGCCAAGGCTGGACTTGATAGTTCCAAATAAATTGAGCATCAGGTAGAAAGTCGATGATAAATACGCACACAAATATATATATATATATATATATATATATATTTTATATATATAATGTGTGACTTGTTTCCCAATACTTAAGATTTCCCGAAATCTTTTCATTGCAAAGAAAAAATCCAAACCATGAAAAATAACGAGGTTTCTAGCAGAACTCTGCACAGAATTTATTATGAAATTTGGTCAAAATCATAACGTATTTTTAAAAAGGTTGAAATTTTGAGGTAACTAATAATCTCTAGGAAGGATCGAAATAAACAACACTTACGTGGGTTTTTCTTGAGTCGTACTTCCTATAGTAAAAAGCTTCATATTTCAGTGAACAAAACCTACTTCTGAACAGACAACGGTGAAATACTAGTTTTCGTATTTTGATGTGCTTTAAAAACACAAGTTTCTGTAGATTTTCTCTTTTGATCACTATAATCTTTTTCAGGAAAGGCCTTTCCTTTTTCTTTCAGCATGATTTCGGCCATTGTCTCTATTTCCTACGGTTATTGTAGCAAACTTACTCTCGC